GGGTTGACCTTATTTAAGTCTCTCGTACTTAATTTTTTTTTTACTTAATTATAATTAATCGTAATTATAATTATTCATTAACCGTTCGTTAAACTTAATTATGAATTTGATACCTTTTTTTTTGCCCCATTAATAAGGTTGTTTCTATTGTGACGTAACTCAAGTATAAAATAATTTTCGACCCCTTAAAACTGTTACTAAACAGGATATTATTTAAATAATTTTGCAATAGTTACAGCTTAAAAATATCTTTATTATTATTATTATTTTTAAGTGTAATTTTGCGAAACTTGTTTGCTAAATTCTAATTTCACACAAGAAGTTCCCTACGATGCGCCCATTTCATAACTGTTAAGTTCCGTTTCGTTGAACTTCACACAGAAATTAATAATAATAAAAAAAAAATAAAATCGTGTATTAAATAATAATAATTATTATTATAAGGTGAAAGATCTTAAATTTATTATTATTTATTTCTAAATCTCTTTAAATTTATACTTTACTAAGCACGTAAACAGCTCTATTTGAAGTGAAGGGAAGGAAATTACATTTCAGATTCTATCATTTTTATTTATTTATTTATTATATATATATTTTTTTTTTGTTGGAGTGGAATCTCGTCATCAAATTAAGTAAGATTTTTATGAAATAATCCCTTTTGAAGAGAGCGAAATCTCTTTAATAAATCGGCTAATCAATGCAATTCCGGTTCAGTAGCTTTAGAGGGATCAGAAAAGAATAATTGTCTGTCTTCGTCGAGAATATAATGGAATTGTGTAACTCACAGTCAATCCTACTCCTTCTGGCATTGTGTCCTCGGGCATCAACAGATGGTTGGTGCAGATATACCAAATACTATAATCTAAAACAAACGAACAGAAGGTTAAAAAAAAAAAAAAAGGTACGAACAATTTAGTTATCGTTAGATTTATGGTTTCTTTCCGTCATCCTTTCTTTTTTTTCCTCTTATTTTTATTCGATAATTTTGCAAATAGGATAAGAAACCCGTCTTCGATCGATATATCCGATAAGGTATTAATGCCTTATAACGTTATCTTTACCCATCTTACACAGTTTTACCCAAGGTGAAAGATACAACGTTTGATTTCGCCATCTTTTTTTTTATATTTTTGTTCCTCGTTTATTTATAAAAGTAGAATGTTCTCTTACCGGATTTTCTAAATGTAAATATAATGTAAGAGTTTATAAATTATTTACGTTTTCTACCATTGAGTGAGTGAGGGGGGTAGACGACTCGTCGTGGCAAATATGTCCACTCTTCTGTGTAGAATTTTATACTATTTTATTTCTAATTTTGGATATAATCTTACGAATTTACCTTGATCTATATCTGTGTTATCGAGCGCGTATAGGTTATTGTAATTCTCAGAAAAGCCTACACAATTTAGATTATATATGACGATACGTTATATAGATTATGAATTTTATAGGTCATGCTAGCATTTCTGTCGAATGACTCGTTTCTATTGAATCATTTAATTACTTTTACGAGTGAGGCATTTTCCTATATCATTTCCAATTATATAATTAGTGTATACATATAAGATGAACATTATGAGATGCCTCTAAGAGTAATAATGGCGCATGGGCATTTTTACAGGAGGCATTTTTTTTAAAAAATAGTTTAATATGATAGAGATGCTTGCGAAGTCTCGTAACAGTTTTAACAATGTAACATTGTTTTATATACGAGAAAACTTAAAAGACGTCACTTTTCTTGCAGAAGTAACTGTAAAATTGATTACATTTTATCGTTAATTCAATTGAAGGACATCATACTTAACCTAATTCTTACACTAGGATCATTATTTAAATATTTATTGCGGCTACTTCGAATGAAATCAGTGCATTCCAATAGAAACTATACATAGACAAGTTGATGTGGGTCACGTGTGTCATACGGTATTTCCGTCTGTTCCTTAATTCTCCTAAATATAATCGACTCGCTTACTTTGCATACGATAAAAACGTGCATTTTCCCTTTAAACAAAGTTCCCGTTTCTCCAGATAATTCCATTTTCACTCGAAATGTAACAGTTCGAGCTTATTGTAGCGTACAAAAATCTGTAACGTCTGGACGATGCCGTTAAATTGTCGGTGTTTCTTTAAAACGCTCTCGGAAGCACAATAATTACCACTATTTTCAGTGAAGGGAGGAAGCACGCTGTAAAAATTAGTAGTTTAATGTCCCGTCCTCTTCTGCGAGTCGGTCAGTTTAACCATTGTTTTTACTTTATAAAAGACTTTATTTTTTGTATTTTTATTCTGTTTCTTCTGATTCCTTCGGGGGATTTACTTTAAAAATTCGTCCTTGACACTTACTGCTCGCGTTTTCCCTAAAAAGAATCTTCTCTTTGTTTTAGAATATTAAACAAAGAAAAAAGAAATTAAGAGAGAAATTTGAAGAATGCCTTTCTTCACTCCATAACTAGCAAATTATTTTTCAAAGTCTTTTCTTATTTTGCTGAATATTTAATTAGTACACATCACAGTACAAAAATGACAAACGAGTAAATTAAATGCTGGAAAAATAAAAATAAAAATTAAAAAAAAACCGCAGCAATGTCGCTCGTACGAAGAAAAGAAAAATCCATATTTGGTCAAGTGTAAGCTACCATTTTGTTTGTCCATTATAATTAATAACGGTTCTTAATTATCTACCGTCAAATTTTCTTTTATTTCGTCGAGAAAAAGAGAGAAAAAAAAAATTCAAAGTTTTAATAAAGTTTACCGTTAAGTAACCCTCTATTGATGATACACATTAATTAACTGGCATCGGAGGAGGAGGAAGAAAAGGAGGAGGAGGAGAGAGAAAAAGATTTAAATGGATGAAGATTGATTTATTAAAACAAATTGTGATGCATCAACAAAGCGACAATCAATTTTAAACGTGATTTATTTTCTTATCTTTGTTTTATGTACGTGTGTATGCTTACTAATCACCTTAAATCAATCCGAGAACGTGATGGTTATTAAGGAGAAAGGTTGGATGATATCATATATTCTATTCGTTCCGACTCGCATGTTATGTAGGACTAAACTTTTAACTATTTAACGCTTGATGTTTACACTTTCCTGATTGTCCAAGTATGTCGGCTACGCTTCCTTTCCTAAATATCTGTTAAAACCTTTGTTCCATTTCTTGAATTTCTAAACTCGTATGCCCGGTTAAATGTTTCCTTATTAAAGATACATCCCCCCCAAAAAAAACGGGATTTTTCTCCAGGAAATTTACTAAATGACGGATTGATTTCTTGTAAAATTCACTTATAAAAATCAATTTTTATACAGGGTAATTAATTATCTTAATGTTCTGTAGCTATGTGTATATTTGGCAGACCGCTAGACTACGTGCAGGATCCGATGATATAACTTGTGGTTTGTAAAAATATGTTATCTTTGGTCAGAAACACGTAAAGAGACATTGAAGTCACCTTGATGTTCATTTGCCAGTAGATCAGTAGGCATTCCGTAGGAGGGCAATTTTTTTTCTCGTGCCAAGACCAGATTTAGAACGGGGGTCGGAAACCTGTCTGCTAAGGACAGACGATGAGCTGTTATAAAGGTTAGCGCCCTCGACTGTAACTAGAGTTGAGAGAGAAAGAGAGAAGAAAAAAAAAATCATTTCTGACGTCATTTTTGCTAAAGTAGAGGTGTGGTCGAATTTGCTTCCTCATTCTCACACTCGTATTAAATCCTCTCTCTCCAACGATGACAATTGTTCTAAGCAATCGCGTTTTTTCGTATAGACGTACGTAAATCTATTACGCTTCCTTTTGGGGGGAGGTTATTAAATTGTTAATATCAAGGCAAAAAGAAACTTGGGCTATTTTTAATTGGGCTATTTATATTTTGACCCAATTTTCTTGAGATGATGAAAGTTTCCGTTCGGAAATCGAGTTTACTGTTAGGTCCGATACATCATTCTATACGTGATTCACGTCCCACAGTTGACCTTTGATTCCTGGGCGTAACGTATTTTAACACCGTGACCTTTTCGAAAGGTGTCCTTGGAAAGGTCGAAAAACGGAAGGTGTGGTCATTCCATATTTCATTTCGAAAAAATAGCGACGAAATATGAAATTTATTAGCATTTTTCGTACAATATTTCAATTGAAAAATTTCCAATGGAGGGGGTGGGGAATTACCTTATTAAGACGTCATTTGAAGTCAACAGGAACTTGAGAAGGTCGTATTGAGGACTTTTTTTTTTTTTTTTTTATGGAATCGAAGGTATGGATAACCGGGGAAATTTTAAATACCGGATGACATCAATAGCAAGAAATATTCGCGAAAAATCCCCAAATTAGTACCTTCGACACACACAAAAAAAATCTAAAATAAAATAATTTAATGTTTAAAAGAAGAAAATGATCAGTTTTAAGCCAACGGCGACTCGTTCTAATACAAAATTTCAAAAGTCATTACCATAAAATCCCATAAGATAATTGCAAAGCTATTACCATAAAATCTTATAAGATAACTTCAAAAACTGTTAGCGTAAAATTCCATGAGATAACTTCGTAAAGTACCTTAAAATAGCATTAACTTCCACCCATAACCATAAAAAAAAAAAAAGAAATACATGCTAAAAATATATACAAGATAACACTCGTTTCGAAAGTTATCATCCCCACGATAACATTATCTTCAAAAATGACCGTCACAAGATAGCATAAAATTCAAAATTACCATCATAAAATTCAGCAAGATAGCATTTAATTCGCCAAACCATTACCATAAGATAGCATAAATATATTAACTTTGCATAAGAAATAAAAAAAAGTAATCAGCTTAGGAGAAAAATTATCATAAGACATTAAACTTATCAAAAAAAAAAAATTAAAAAAAAAAATTTACCATAAAAATAATTAAAGTATTCTGTGATAAAGTATAATTTTTATTGCCCAGTAGACTATAATAATGATTTAAAAAAAAAAGAAAATAAGAGTTAAAAAGAAACACAGGAAACCACTTACCTGGATAGGAATCGGGTATGACAAGAGAAGGTTCAACAATCTTCATACCGGCTTTAACATCTCTGTCTAAACTATGAGCGTAAACCTTTCTACACATGTAAGCCTGATAGAGTAATATAGGCTGTGATAAATCGAGTTTTGCAGGTATGGGCGAAGCACCTTGAACACAATTCTCGTGTATACGTACTATTTGTGGTAAATGATACCTACGCAAAAATTCACGAGGTGATACAGTCTCGGTACTCCATTTCGTCCACGGCGTACTCATTTTTTTTTTTATTTTCCTATTGTTGTATTATTCGTTCACATTCTAACACCACGTCCTATCGCCATTACGACCGACTATCGACTATGAGCCGGTCTGGCTCTGCAACTTTCTCTTTCCTACGAGCCTGCAGCTTGAATCTCGAGCACGAACGATTCGACCAATCAGCCGAGTTGAAGAGAAAGTGACAAACTGGTTTCCATGGTAACGCGAAATCGTTCTTTTCCCCCCTTCTCTCTCTCTTTTATTTTCCTCATAGATTGCGTCAGTCGAGGAAGTTATTTCAATCGGCGGAAACTCGATTGTTTACGTAATAATGAACATTTTTCTAATTTGTTACGTGCGTTACGACATTATTGTTGGAAAGTATCATTTGCTTCTTCTGTACGAGTTTGGCTGTCGTATAATGAAAAACCTGACACCACTCTAGTAGCAAATGGTCTATTTTTAATACACAAAAAACGATTTTTTCGGCATTATTTTCTGCATCTATTGTAAGTTTTCAATCTAATCCGAGGACTTTAATAAGTGGTAATTATACCTTGCGATATTTTATAATAATAATAAGCAAAGTGAAGCAACGTTACTTATGCAACTTCCCCTCTCTCTCCCTCCCTCCCCCGCTCTCTCTCTCTCTCTCTCTCTTCCTCATTTCGAGATGGAGAAAATTAGAATGATTTCTTCCCCGTACGGTCAAACTGGTCGGAAATAGCACCTTTAATATTTTGTACAAGGTTGTTTAACAATGCCCCTTTGTCTTTCCCACCGACCATTGATGAGTAAATTTTAGTGCATGTTGCATTTTCTAACAGCGTAGACGAAAATAATAACCAGAATGGTGGGCATTGTAAGTGACCTTAGCCCATCGTATTGTTTATTACGTTGGTCCAAAATTGTTACGTTGTAAAAAGAGGTGTGGTAAGTATTGTGATGCGATTTAAAAAAAAAAAAAAATGTATTGTAAATATATTTAAAAAGGAGTATGATAAACATTGTAAGAAAAATTATATTTAAAAAAAGAAGTTTGTATGGCATGTCGAATAAGTAAAGAGAAAAGAAATGCTGAGGATTATTATAATTTATGACCAGTATTGTGGTAAGGGTATAGGAGACACGTTATAGAAGGCATTGTATGGTAATATTTTATATAAAATGTCTATTTTATCTTATAATTTTTAAATATTATAAAATATGTGATACATATAATGATTTTTTAAATAATACTGTACTTTTATTTTACAGTATTTACACTAGTATTATTATTTTTAATCGATTTAATCCTAATGCTTATAGTAGGAACTACAAGGAAATTGGAGTAATATATGAGAAATTTTATTAACATTATAGATACGTTAGAATATGATAGATATTGTAGAAATGCAGTAAAAATTCACCCCCACACTAATGTTATGATATTAAGTACTGCGGGGATACAATAAAGTGCCGTTCGACTTATTGTTCGAGAAGATTTTGATGGCACATTGCAATATATTCTATACACAGACCAAAATCATATAACTTTAAAGAATAATTTCCTATATTTCTGAGGAATTTCGACGATTCATCGAAGTCTCTAAGCTTCAAAGTTCAACGGAGCAATTGGTGCTATTGTGTAATCTACGGATTAACTTTTTTTTTTTCTAAGCCAAAAAATGAATTCCTCTCAAAGAATTTGCGGACGTTCTTTGAGTGAGAAGGATTTTTGAAATACTCTTCTAAAATATCATTAGTTTGCAATACTTGAAGTAGTGAAAAGAATTTTATTTATTTTATTTTATTTTTTCACCGCGAAATTAAATTGATAATAAACCTCATAAATCTTGCAATACTGTTACAAAACTTTTACTCATTTTTCTAAGCTCGTTATAAATTTAATTATATTTCTATTAAAATAAAAATTTAAAAAGTTCGTATTTCATTATTTGGACGGAACCGGAGGCATTTCGTTATAACAATAATGGATAACACTGGATTAAAGCACCGAACTTATAAAACTTAAGTACACAAGTAACTGAGTATAACTTAAAGAAAATCATCTTTTTAAAAGCAGATAATGACCTCTTAACTGACATCTACCTACAAATCGAAAGCTGGCCCGTCCGTCCTTGTCACATCCACGCGAGAAGCGTGGGTATAAAAATGGACAAAGAAAAGAATACGGGCGTCATCCCTCTTTATCGTCCACGTGTTCTGCCCAGTTTGAGTCTGAAAAAAAAAAAAAAAACGTGTCGACATCACGAAAAACGAAGTGGTGCCATCTGTCGAATTGGACGTTTACTATTTAACAAAATGCTAGACGGGTGACCTTTAAAGGAGTCGGATGTTCTATAGATAAGTTATGCCAAGTTTGGATGTCGTACTGTCTCTAGCTTGCCTTAAACAGAGAAAGATTGTGGTGTGACTGGGCGGTGTCTTTTCTATGATTAATTGGCAGGCTAAACACAAACCCCCCCCCCGATATTATTTATGTATCGTCTATAAAGAAAAATATATTGCTGTGTTAGAATTTACGGATTTTTTATTATTATTATTTTCCAGCGTATATAATGTTTATTTATCTTTTTTTTTTTTGAAAGGTATTTATTAACTGTCATTATGGTTTTCTTGCTTCCGTTGGGGAGAAAGTTGCGGTGGCATAAAATAAAATGCAATTTTTTATATCGAAAATATGTTATCTCGTATAAAAGATAACGTAATGAATATCATTTTTTTAAAAAATGTACAAGCGTACAGAGATATGTTATAACAATGGTGAACGATGCTACAAACAGGTAAAGGATTTAGTTGTAGATACAGCAATTTTTAGATAAAATAATGCCTTAATTTATACAAATTTCGTCACCTTATCAGTATATGCCCGTTATATAAACAAAGATATACAGATCTAAGTTAAGAATAATTCATTAAACATTGTTATAGATTAATTATGTACACTGTACGTATTAGTATACAGAGCCATTGAAGAATCTATATACTGTTTTAAAGTTATATAGATTCTTTAAAGAATAAAGATATGATGTAATAAAATATAAAGCCATAACAATAATGTATCATTTAAGTTCTAGAAAGAGCGTAACAGTTACGCGTAACACGTGACAGTATTGTGTAATAGAAAAGATATTGAGTTTTAAAAAAAATGCCAGAACGCCTATAATAGAAGAGATTTAAAGCATTAGGTGTGTGTATATATAGTGGAGGATTAACCACCACTCGGGCCTCCTACTATGAGTTTTAGTAAGGATCTCCTCCTGTTCCACCCTTTGTTGAATAGAATAAAGTGATATTAAGTTATATTAAATAACACATCGTTGTAACGATTAAATAATTTGTTTTATTGTTATTTCTTTAGAACCCCTCCTTCCGGGCCTCTAGGCTTAAGCTTACACAGCCTAATTGTTAATCAGCCTGGAAAAATAAGTCATATGTTAGGTGGCATATTTACCATGTCTACCATTTCCTTTTTCTTAAAATATTATAAGGATATGTTTTATACTTTTAGTAAATGGTAGTTATGGAATATTTACCATGTATACTACTCCCATTTCCTTATAACAGTATAAGGAAATGGAAAGAGAGTATACAGGAGAAATATCCTAAGTAACACGTGTAAAGAATAAGAATATCGTAAAGTTTTTTTAAAATTAAAATACATTTTTATATATTTATTTATTCAAAAAAGGTTTTTTTCTTTAGTTTTCCTTATTATTATTATTATTTCGTATAAAAAACGTATTAAACGATGCAAGTTTAATCAATTCACGTCGATTACTATGCCGACAATATATTCAAACTACACGCATTACCTATGGACTTTACGGCGTAACGGATAGAAAATGGTGTGTAAATTTGTTAAAATATAAGAAATAAAATTCCTACTTATATCTTTGATCGATGATTTCAAGCTGGTTTCTATTGAAAAATTCAGTTTATTATAGAAAAATGTATACAGTAGATGATGTTTTGACTTAGCATTATCGCTTCCAAACTCTCAGTTTAAAGTCGATGATTTTCCAACCAAACAATATCAAAAAATAGGACAAAATCATAATAATAATAATAGAAAACATCTTTTCTATTTTGATTTAACTATTTTTTTATATATTTTTTTAAATTTATCTATTGTTTTCGAGAGAAAATATTGCTATTTTTTTCGGAATTCTTAATTTTTCCTCGTGTAATTTTTGTTTTAGAGGAACGACATTAAGTAGATTATTATATTAAATCGTATTTTTAATCCCTTACAACATTATTTTCTACTTATTTAAAGAACTGTCTACGTATTGTACAGTTTAATAATAAAAATAAAATATATAACTAAACCCTTAAACTATAGATTTATAACTTGTTTACGGCTGATTGCATGGAAATATATTTTGTTTTTTTTCCTACATTTTTAACATTAATAAAATCTTGTTTTTTTTTTTCTTATAAATAGAAACACTTGGTTACCTTTTCCTGTTTTACGTATACACCCCGCACACAGGAAATTATTAATTCATTAACCTGAACAAATTTACCTTTAAAAAACCTATTGGCTAATGCAATTGAAGGTCACGTTGTTACAATATTNCGATCGGCAATTTTGTAACTTGTTTACTGAACTCAAAAAAAAAAAAGGGGTTCATTAACCTGAACAAATTTACCTTTAAAAAACCTATTGGCTAATGCAATTGAAGGTCACGTTGTTACAATATTTACAATAAATCAGTTTGAAATAATTTTATTTCTAAACAAATAATTAAAATCTTGTAAATATAATGGACAAAGTTAAGATTGAGATTTATAGGGATTAGTCCGTTTTGATGTATTTATAAGGCACCTATTGCTTGTAAACATATCAAAATACACTAACATCTATAACTGATATTGCTGTGATGTTTTGATTAGTCAATTATGGTTCAAAATATAATATTAATAATAATAGATTAATCAAGACATTCCAATAATGTTTTGATTAGATATTCCTGACCCCATAGTTGACTCCATTTTAATAGACTAGCCTGAAGGTTCAGGAATGTTCAGGAAGGTTCAGTCGACCCTCCTATAACACTGTTGATAATTCCGTTTTATATGAATTCCATGTTGTACGAGTCACTTAGATTTTACAAATACGTGTGCCGGGCTGTGAACGGCTCACGTATTTGTAAAATCTAAGAGACTCGTACAACATGGAATTCATATAAAACGGAATTATCAATAGTGTTATAGGGGGTGACTTGTATCTACTCAAATGGACTAATTTATGGATTCAGGATTGTGGTACACAATTTGGAAGTGTTTGATTCATTAATTATGAGATCCAAAGTCTGAAATATGGTAAAGAATTAAAAATATAGGTTAGTAGTTAAGTTAATACTATATCAATTATAACAGAACCAAAATTGCTTTGATTTAGGCCTTTATAATGTTAAAAGATGGTGCCTTCATCACAAAGTACTGTACTTCTTCAGCTGTATGGAATATCGATTTGTAAATAAGATTTTGATCTCCCTGGTCCATAATATGCGAGTGAATTATGACGGAAGTATGCGGAAAATCATTTTTCAACCTATACTTTTTTCAATTATCCGGCCAGGATAATCTAATAAATATTTTAAATTTTGATTAATTACATTTTAAGGGGCTAAAGCGAATCATTTATACGTATTAAATTACGTATCGAGGGCTTTGGACCCAACAATAATCCCAAGAAGGCCTCTCGCCGACCTCCACGGTCATAGGGTGGATAGAGGAGTATTCGTCGACCTGGCGACCTTTGACCGGAGTAACCGAGTGCATCGTACTCTTAAATATACACTTTATATATATATATATATATATATATATATATAAGAAGCAATATAACAATTAAATCTCCCGGAGAGATTTAATAATCGGAGAAAATGAATATTCTAATTTATCATGGGAGGACGTAGAAGGAGGAGGAACTTTGCCCCCGAGGATTATCATCCTTCACCTCTCCCATCTCTACGGGATATAAAGAGGCACTCTATTATGTTCCGAGTCCGCCTTCACGAGGAAGAACACTTATCCACCCCGAGGACAAGGGATAAAAATTATTTTATGCGCTCTACCGCGCATTAACTATCTGCTTCCATCCTACAACCGACGATAGTTTGGCAAAGAGGGAGGGTTTCTCTTCGATTGTAAACCGAAATTTGTGTCGGTACCCCCCTTATAATAGGGCTTATTAAAACTTCTAGTGGAATGTTGATACGATTAGTCGCGCACTTCACAGAATGCGACTGCTCGTCTCCACTACCGACCTTGGGTGGTCGCTTTGGCTGTCGAAGACACTGCTTGAATCCATCCGCACGCATCATCATAATCGTAAGATTTATTACACAAAGAGATGTTGTTATCCGCTATTGGCACATTACATAAGACCGGCTATCGATATATATTACACAACAGACCCCTACAAAGCGTCACACAATAGGACTTTCGGGGAGGCAAATAATGCTCTTGTTGACAAAAGTAGCAATATCGTAATCGAATGGCTTCGAAATTATGCGATTTATAAGCAAATATAAGCATTATAACGAGAAAAATTCTATTTAAGAGTAGCCAACTAATTGGTGGTGATCATCTCGTGCATCCATTCTTCTGGATAATGATATGGTAGGAGAAGGAAGAGCTGCCCATTCTTTCTGAGATCTTAATCCTGGATCCATTAAAGAATACTTAGTTACCGATTTATTTTTTTTAAAAAAATTTAAGTTATAACACAATTTATAAACAGACTTTTGATTGGTCACTCTTTTACGTCAATTTGACGTCAGTTTTTGAGGTAGTCTGTTGTAAAACCGAAGAGGTGACGTTAAATTGAAGTAAAAGTATACACTAAATTGACCAATCGAATGGAATTGCCGACGTAACTGAAAAAAATATTATTGTTAGTTCTATACGATCAATACGAAATTTATTTTTAAAATATTTCGCTTTGAAGTGTAAATAAATTCTCCTTCAATGGCTTCTTATTATTGAAGATATTTATATAACAATCCAATTAAGAATTTATTGCGTAAAATTGAAATTAAATAATAAAAAAACAACGTTTTTCCGTTCCTTTAAATGTATGGAAAAAAATATTCATATCATTATTTGAACAGTAAAAATATCAATATTTTGAAACTTAATTGGCAGGTTTGTTAGTTATTTCTTCTGGAGGAAGATGCTTTATTTTATTACTGGAAAGGCCTTTCATTTTATTCTGGAAGAAATCTTTTCTTTTTCAATTAAGAAAAGTTTTTTCTTTGATATTGTTCTCAGAAAATGTCTTTTATTTCATTCGCTGGAAGGCCCTTCATTCTTTTATTATTGTGTTGTGTTCGTAACATTGTTTCCACATATTCACGTATATTGTTCACTTTTATTAGAAAGGGCCTTTTTTATATACAGTATTCTAAATAGAGACCTTTTCTTGGACTTTTACTGTAAGAAAAATTTTCTTCTTTTGTTATATTATTATTATTAATAAGGGACTTCTATGTTTTCTTTGTTTTGTGAGGCCTTATTAAATTCTAGGCAAAAATCTTCAATGGACTTTTTCGTTCTCATTAAAAACGTGCCTGTTAAGGCATGCTTATAAAAAAAAATCTTTATATTTTGTCACGTGGAGGCTTCTTTTTTTCCTGCTTCCAGGTAAAAGTCTTCAATGGATTTTATTTGTTACCATTAGAAAGAGCCTTCTTAAGGCACGCTTACAAAAAAACTCTTGTACTTACAGTAACCTTTTTTTTTCCACTGTTAGTTTATCCATAAAAGAAGACCTTTACAGTGAGATGCCTTCATAATAAAACACAAGTTATACATACATTCTTTTCCGATCGGCAATTTTGTAACTTGTTTACTGAACTCAAAAAAAAAAATGGGACGAAACTTTTACAGTTTACTCTCACGTCATACAAGACTTTTCGGGAATGAATAGACTTATATATGTTAATACAAAAGATACGTATGCCTAGCACGAATCGTATTAAGAATGCACCAGAAAGAAAAAAAAAGTAGTGTGTTAGACGTCTATCAAATCAGATAATTACACAATAGAAAGCGGACATTTTATTACGCCTCCCGTCTTTCACTTTTTTGGCATTATCCTACTGGAGCTTGGCTAACGATGACAATTGGCATTCGACATTCGGCCATCTTTTTCTCCTTCCCCACTACCAAAGTTATAAAATAGCGTTAATGATTGTTTCTCCATCCCCTCATCTACTGACCTTGGCGTGTCTCTTAACGACCTCCTTATACTTACAGCATTAAAGGGCGTTCCTGAATAATGTTAAGAGGCTACGCCAACTTATGACTAATCTTATATTATCCACACCTGTCCGCAGATTAATGGATTGACTTCCTTCGCAAAAATAATGTAGGCGAATGGTTTGTATATACAAACAATGACCCATTTATGCCTCGTAAAATTATAAAAATTTTTAAAATCTCGATTAAAAGATAATTTCTCTTGAAGAATTTAGAGCGAAATTGGATCTTAATTGCGTTTTTATATATAAAAAAAAATAAGAAGAGGGGAAGGAAAGGATATTTCACTTATCCTAATTTTCTGATTGTAGGTTTTATTTGTTTTCGAATGAATTGTTTCAAAATGTGAAAAGAACATTTCTGACTTATGCCGGAAGTGGTGTAGTTTACCTTAATCCAACTGTCAGAGAGTCCGGGAGGTCTTAAGTAGTATCAAATCTTGTAGAAAATCGGATGAAGTGAATGTATGACTTGACTTGCCAACAAGAAGATTGTATTTCGAGTATAAGTCCTGTCAAATAAATCACGTGCCTACTCATTGATGGCGATAAATGTAGAAAGCATCTGTTGGACA